CTGTGGGGAGGCAGCTCTTTATGTTATAAGATCACCCACTCTGCTCCTCTTTCCTGCTTCCTCTCATCTCAGGGTGCCCTGCCTTTCGGGGCTCCTTCTCTGCTGCTATTCTGAGGATGCTCTGCGATTCTGCCGTTTTCCCTTCCAAAGGGTTCTTCCTCTTAATTCCACCTCTGCCGCCCACGGCGCTGACCCGCCGCCTGCCAAGGATTTCTCCCTCCTGAGTTGGCAGCGTCCCTCAGCCAGACTCCCCGCTCCGGACTCCACAAGCCAGGCCTGTGCGGTGAGTCACTGATCACAAAGCCATTCACATGCATCACGTCCTTTGATAGTCTTTCTCCTACCCCAGCACAGCCAAGCTCTGTCAGTAACAACAGAAAAATGAGATCGTCAAAGCGGGGCCCGGGGCGGTGGGGGAAGGCATCTGAGAATGAAAGGTAGATTGAAGGCTTTGGACTCTGAGCGCAAACTGGCCGTGAGCTTGAGCTTACTTTCTGAGGGCTGAAGATGGGGCAAGAATAGCAGGGAGGGACTCTCCAGATGCACCTCCGTGACGTAAGCACACACCAGCGTGGGCTCAAAGCCTCTCTAAAAATAGCAGCAGAAGGGCCAAGGGGCCTGGGGGCCCAGCAGCCCTGGAAGCCCCCCTGCTCCCGTTTGGCTGGGAGGACACAGAGATGTGGTGAGGTAACAAGGCGTGCCCAAGGCTCGAGCAGCCGGCGACAAAGCTGCTCACGCAACCCCGGGATTGGGTCTCTGCCTAGACCTTCGCCATCACCTATAGCTTTCAGACTTTAATGACTTGTTTTCACTCTTTGGAAAAAAAGTTTTACTTTAAAGGCAAACAGAGAGTTACAAGCATATACCAGTGACTGTCAGAGAAACCACCAGAAAATTGTCCTATGCCAATGGCTTCCCTCCGTTCAAATCCCACCCAGTCGGGATTTGGGGGCAGTCCATGTAAGTCCTCCAAAAACTGAGGGCTACATCGATGCATTCGTTTAGTCCAAGTCCCTCCCCCTTATGGTTAGTTTCCACTTTTATTTGTACATTTTTACAGATAGTCTTGACTAGCAAAACAGCCACACCATGGGCGGAAACGGGAAAGGAGTATGAGAATGAGCCAGTGAAAGCTCTCTCTGCGAAAGGCATGGTCACATCCACAACGACACAGACGCCCTGGCACACCCAGGCTGCAAAGGGCCTGCAGGTGCCAGGAAAGGACAGGAGAGGCTTCACCCGAGGGAGAAATAGGAGCCAGGAGAGGACAGAAGGACGCAGAGTTGCCCAGGGAGCAACAGCCAGTCCCTGGAAATGAAGAGGGGGAGCTGCGACTGCTGAGGTTAGTGTCTGTCAAAGGGAGGGCAGGGTCGGGCTTCTGCTGTGCACCCTCCGAGCTGACACCCAGTTTTCTCTTCCTCCATAGTGAACTGCATGCCCCACAGGTGGGCAGCTGCCCTGTTCCTTAGAGAAGGTCTCGCCATAACACCAACACCCAGTGGCCTGCAGAGCAGAAAGTGTGCAGACCCTGCTGCAGTGAATTCTTTCCTCGTGTAGACCCTAGGGCTCAGTTTACCCGCAACGGGGTCACACCTGGAACCTCTCCCAGAGAGCGCTCCACCAGAAGCGTCATCAGAGAACACTTCTGATGACGCCGTCGGCTGCGGCCACCGACAAGACAAAGGTCCCAGTTCCTTGAAACTTGCTCCCACCTTAAACTGAACAGGCCATTAAAGTGTTTCAGAATCTGATCTTCTCCCACCACGTGAGCTTGTACAGCTAGAAATAATGTTAGGAGGACAATGAAGAGAAAAACTAAGGCGTTGACTGCGTGCCTTGGTTGATAGTTAACTGTTTTCGCTCCTGTATGCTATTTGCCCCACAGAGTTTACTCATTCCATCACCTCTAGGAATAAGCAAGTGGGAGTCAGAGTGCCCTGTGCAAAACTGGCTTTGGACAGATGGAACGAAGCCTGGGAATGAGTCAATTAGAGAGCCAACATCTCTGAGGGACCTGAATGCCAGAACCAAATCCCTAGACAGGTGGCCAAGATGACCGGTCGCTCTGGGTCATCCTTTCAGCAGTCCATGGGGACTTGGCCGCTGCAGGCAATTTGAACAGTGCATAATTCATGTGACACTTCATGTTTGCAAACCATTTTGCAATTTCCTTGTCACCCTTCATATACCATGAGGTAAAGTGTTATCACTCTCCTCATTGTGTGGATGAGGAAGTTCAAGTATGGAGAAGACATAGTGCCCAGAGTTGCAAATCGCTGTTTCAGTGCCAAGCAAAGTGAAGTTTACAGGACCTGGGCTGTACAAGGGTCACTTAATTACTGAGTTACTCCAGCTTCGGTGCTCTTACACCTATAGTTAGGGTGAGACGACACTCAGAAAAGGAAGGAAGGGAGGAAGGGAGGGAGGAAGGGAGAAAAGAAAAAAAGAAAGAGGAAGGAAGGAAAGAAGGAAAGAAGGAAGGGAGGAAGGAAGGAAGGAAGGAAGGGAGAGAAAAGCCCAAAGTAGGAACCCTTTCATTCTTTCCCAAGACTGCCAATACATCTAGCACGGAGCCTTTTCAAAGGCCTCTTTGCTACTTTTGGGGGCAGAGCCCTGGGCCCTTGCTGCCAGAAGCGCAGACAAGGTCCGCTCCCACAGATCACTCACTGTGGCTCTGCGGCCCGCACCGCCCTGCCTCCTAGCCCTGCCTCCCAAACCAGAGGCCCCCGCTGACCGGGAAACGTTGGGGCTGGGACCCCGTGATGTCTCAGGGTGATGGAATGATGAACAATCTCTAAGTCTTTTCTTTTTATTTTAATTTTCCAATTTTCTACAATGAGCATGTATTACTTTGGAAAAAAATCAAACAGCCAATGATAATGTAGTCTAAGAACTCACAATCATGTTGAAGAAGCTTTTTGCACCATGGTGGCATCCATGGAAAGAGGGCAAACAGCTCGCCATGCTGCCGCTTGGAGAGACACCAGAATCTCTTGTGTCCATCAGCTCAGGGGGCTTGTTTAAAAAATCTGTTCCTTTACTCAATTATATACTAGCTGGAAGACAGCACAGAAGGCAACCTGGCTGGCATGCACTGAGTGTTTTTATCGGTGAAGAAACCACCTCTCGCTACGACTCGCCACATTTCCCTGGAAAGGGCCACACGTGTCCACCCGGACAGGCAGCCTCTGGGGCAGAAGGAACATTCACAGAGAGCTGGCTGCACCTTAGCTGTGGGAATCAACCACGCAGTCCACAGAAACTCTACCAAAGATGACCAGGGTGTATTTCTCCCCAGATACTTGAAAAATCAGTGAATTAGTGCTTTCAGAATAAGCCAGGTGAAGACAGAGTCAACTTTAGATATCTCTGGGGGATGTACTCGATTTCACTATTCTGGATCTGACTCGGGTGCGCGGCCTCGGAGACCAAAGCAGCATATCTTCCCACTAACTCAGCACCAACAAAGCAGTGATTGGGTAAATCTAAAGGTGCAGGGCCCTGTCCCAGGGTCTTGGAGTACCTTCCTCCCGGACGCCCAGCAAGATAATACTCCGACATGGCACCAGGGCACAGGGCGCCGTTACGGGGACATGTGGTCTGGATTGGGGGGAGTTGTCAAGTCTTTGTGACTTTGTGATCCCTGAAGTTGAAAGGGTAGAGTTGCGGAAAGGCTGGCGCTTGTAGAGGGTTGAAGCTGGAACAGGCACACTTTAATCTTTTTTTATATTTTGGTGCCCGGGAGCCATAGGCCCCCTTACAGAACCTCCGGCCACAACCAACGAGGAAGGGGCTGCTGGAGCGTACGGGCCTCTCTCGAGACAAATTCCTTAACTATTTCAACTGGCCAACATTGATGCAGAAAGAAAGTAGAAGCAGGTGCAGGGAGGGAATGGAAATAAAACAAATCTTAATCCCCAAAATGGGGAGGGAAAGACATAGGACCTCTTCCAGGTAAACACCCCACTTGCCTGAATCCTCAGTCTCATAGGGGAAGGAAATAAAAGCTGAAGTGGCCCCTAGGCAGGGAGCTCAAAACACACACACAAGGTCACGGATCCTGCATGTACGCCCGTAAGGAACTTGAACTTGGCCTGGCGTTGGGGCTGGCGGCCTCAGTGAGGTCGCTGACCCCGAATCCCTCAGAAGGTTGCTTTCTGCTTCGATACGGAGTTAGCAGAGTCTGACTTCCAGAGTCTTATGCTCAAGGCTCCCCCCTTCTTTTTCCTCCCTTTCTTCCTCCTCTTATTTCTCGGGCACCTCACGCCATGAAACATCAGCAACTGCTTGGAGTGGGAAGCTCTGATCTGACCTCCAGCTCCTGTGCTGGAGGGATCAAGGTCACCTGGGGAATTGTCCCCATTATCCAGGACTTGTCATCTGAAAGGGCTTCCATCCTGGCGGCATGGCCGGGCATTCTCTGGGCCCCAAGCAGGATCAGACCCCAGAGCGTGTGTGTGCGCATGCATGTGTGTACCTGTCTGGACCATTATCAGGAAAAAGCAGCTCAAAGTGTCTACTCTGCTGATGGTGGCTTGAGCCCAGATGGTTTACTTCTTTCCCAAGAGCCCTCCTGACATTTCAGGGAGGTTTCAAAGAGATGCAGTGAGCTGTGTCCATGGTCTATCATAAAGATTAGTACTTGGAAAGAGTGGGTGACCTACTAAGGACAAGCATGACATAAAAACAAGGGGGCATAAATGAGGAGAGGTCTGTGGGGGAGGGTCCGCAAACATGGTTGCTAAAGAAAAGTTTAAATGATTGATAGCAAATTGCCCCATTTAGAATCCTTTCCCTGTTTTTCCACAACTGGAAAACAGCTGGAATGTGGGTTGGGCCACAGACAAGCCCTCCGCCCCAAAGGACACTCATAGACACCTGCCTTTCTCTGCTCAGCACTTTCCTGAAAATGACTTCCCTTTTTATAGCACAAAGCCTCTGTTTTAGAAATAACCCTTAGAGGCCGAGTTGGAAGCTAACAGCATTTCCCGCCTGCATCCCTGCCCCTCGCCGCCCCGCACACCCATACCCAGGGCATCGCATGCGAGACCTTTTGCAGAAGCTGACAAGTGTTGCTGGCAAGGAAGCCTTGAAGAGGACACCCACACCTGCGTCCAGGTAGGCACTGGAGCAAACGCACGCAAAATGCACCAGAGAGATACACGCACAGAGACCCACGGTCAGGCCCGTCCATGCGCACTGGAGGTCCCATCTGATGTCAGCCACGCGCAGTCGAAAGGGCAGAGGAGAGACAGGCGGGGCTCGCAGCCTGGCGGAGGGAGTGGCAGGTGCCAAGTGGTCGGTGGGTGGGAAAGGCGGCCTCTGGAGGTGGAGGGATGAAACAGAGTGCATGGGTTGGGGGGAGGGCTGCTGAGTGGTTGGCCAAGTCCCCAAAGCGCATTTATTTCTGAAGCAACTGAACTCTCGGCTCTATGGCTGACCCGTGGCTCTAGAGCGCGGGGACTCTCTCCTGCCTCCGCGGGGCTGCCCTGCCCCTACAGCTTCCACACCTTGCTGGCTGACTCTGTAGCTCCGTCACCTGCAGTGTGCCAATGTGCTCGAGGGAGCCTGAGACACCGGGCTGGTCTTAGGCCACCTCTACTTGGGTGCTCGCCACTGGGACGGCTCTTTGGGGATTCCTGGCCTTGACTATTGAGAGGGGGAGGAAGAGGAGGGGAAGAGTCGAGAGTTGTCCATTAATTTACATCGTATCATACAAACTTGAGCCCAGGGGACATGGAGGTGCTCTCTCTGCATGTGACCCATTTTCTTTCATCTGTATGGACGTCGCCTCTGGGGAAGGGGTGCGTGTCCAGTGATGAAGGGCAGCTTCCAGGACGGGGAAGAAAAGGTCTTGTCGGGGGGACGGACTTGCACAAGAGCACAGGGGCCACTTCCTTCTCCCTCCTGAACCGTGCCCCCCTCTTCGTGCACGGCTGGCGGGCCCAGCTGTGCCGAGGACTTCTGAAATGAGAGGGCTAAATCTTGTGGCATCCCAGAACTGTCATGCGAAGAACCACAGGGTCCCCTGCCCAGCGGTTTTGTTCTTGGCTCTGCCCTCTGGGGATTTCAGCTGCACTACAAATAATAGAAAAATGCAACACAAATGATAAAACCTACACTCAGAAAACACCCGCCGCACGCACGCACACCAGGGATCAGAAGCTGCAGAACTGGCACCCACGTGGGCCTGCCCCTCATCATTCCTCCTGGTCTCCGGCCTCCGCGCCGGCCCGGAAACCCCCCCTGGGGGACTGAGAGACAACAGTCATAGTGCAGTATTTCCATTTTAAAGGGTGAAAAGGGAAAAAGCAAACCACCCAAAAGAGTCACATACACACGCACACATCACAGCATCACCCCAAGGCTCCGGGCTGCCCAGGGAGTGCAGGTGGGGTCGGGGGCGGGGCGGCCTCTTGTTTAACTCAGTGTAAGGCAGCTGGAAGGTAAGACTGGGTTTTCTGAGCATCCACTGAAGCGTCCTTCCGTTGACGCAGATCTTGCCTCTCAGCAGGTTGTTCTCTCCCCCTTTCCACCTCCTGAACTTTGTCCGAAAGTTTGGTGGCAAAGAGAAAACTTCCTTCTTGCTTTGTTTTCCCCTCGGCGTCTTGCATGTGGCTGGGGTGCCGGGAGGGAAACTGGAACAGGAAGAGCAGGAGAAGGGCGGGTTCCGCCCCTGCCTCTAAGGTTTGGTGACGGTCTGTGAATGAGGGCGCTGCTTCTCTGTGACAGGATCGGTGTTGGGGTGACGGCCCAGTGGGTGGCACTTCCTTTTCCACCTTGGTGCCACTCCAGCCCACTGGCACTGTCCCTTCCCAGCCCACCACCCTGTCCTCGTGAGTGACAGGGATCTGGATGCCGTTGTGAGCGGGGATGTTCACTGTGTCTTCAAGGAACTGTGGAGCCAAAAGGTGAGAACTGACGGAGGAGCCACGTGGTGGGAACGCCTTCCCCATCTCCGTGATGAGGCCACAAAGTCCGACAGGATGCGGGTGCCTGAGCCAACCCCACTCTCCTTGGCACTAGCATCATCTGGATTTAGTTTTGTTTTATATATGTATATTATATATATATTTATATATATATATATATTTATGGGTTTGTTTTTTAGCACACTGTCCCATTCTCGGGTCTAGATTTGGGGCAGTTGGTCCTCGGGACAGGTTGCACAGAAGGGGCCAAGGTACAGAAGAACCCCGAGATGAGTGTGAGGCCCAGGCCCCCCCACGCACAGAACATGGACCATCCGTAGCCATGGCTGATGTCATCGGGGAGTCCATACAGGTAGCGAGGGTAGCGTGACAGCTCAAAGTTGATCCCGGCCACACAGGTGCACAGTGATATGATGCAGAAGGTTCCTGAGGGACAGGGGAGGAAAGAGAGGGTGGGGAGGGGGGACGGAGAAGGAAAGGGGAGGGGGAGAGGGAGAGAGAAAGAGAGAAGTGAGGCTTATTACAGTTTTAGTATTCTTGAGTAAGAAAAAAAGAAAAGATCAGGTAAGAGGGACCAGCTGACGAGTTCAACATCAGGAAATATTCAGAGAGGAGAATATATGAAGGGATCGAAGCTTCCCTTGCTTTCCGATAATTGTCCCGTCTTGGACACGCTCGGGAAGCACCTTTTTGGGAAAATACTAAATAAATATCCCGGTAGAATATCGTGCAGCGTGGAGTGAGGCAGGGAGCCTTCGGTTTACTTTTCTAAAGACTTAGAAATTCGTTGTCTTTGGAGACACAGAAAACATCCCATTTGCTATGTCTTTAAAGAGGAAAATATCTTTATTCTCTTCTTTCTGTAGATAATGTCTTACTACGCTATTGGGTTTTCCTTCAATCCATTCGCCAACAGGTCATGCACATCCAGGAAACCCTTTCCCATTTCCTGCAGGACGACGCTTCCCCAGCGCTCTAACCTTACGAGACTCTTTCACAAAGTGGCGGCGGAATCAACGACCTCTGGGAACCTCTACACACCACTTCTCACCACGTAGGTTTACAATCCAGTGCGTACACATTAACTGTTCTAGCCTCATCTTACGAGGCATTCCACAGACTTCCTTCATGTTAGGACCTCCTCTTTAAACAAATATTACTTACATTAACCACTGAGAAGACTGCTATGAGAGACAGGATGTTATAAAATGCTATAGGATTGCACACCCATGCTTAACCAACAGAGCTACTGGGCATACCTAGAATGAGTTCAAGAGCTTTTCTCAGTATTTTCTGGGTCTTGTGTTTCTTCTGTTGCCGCCAATGGGAGCAACGGCCTAAAGCAGCATGCACAGCTTGGAAGGGCTGGGTTGGGTTGATGGAAGACAGAGGGAGGAGGATATTCTTTAGGCGTCAGGAACAAGAGAGGTGCATTTTGTTTACATTTATTGAAGACCTCTTGCCTTCAGCCCTGGGCCCCTGAGCCTGTGATAATTTATAAACGGCGACGGCGACACCCGTCATACCTAATATCATTTAGTGTTGCATGCGAGGAACTGGGCTAAGTGCTCCATGCGTACTGGCCCTTTAATCCTTGAAGCAAATCTATAAAGTAGGTTGTATTATTATTGCCATTTTACTGACTCTGAGGAAGTTGAGGCCCAGAGAGCTTAAGCCATTTGCCTGAGGCCACATCGCTAGACACTGGTAGGGCCAGCCTAGGAACTCAGGCGGGTCGGTTCCGGAGTTCGCGGCCTTATCTTCTGTGCTCTTTAGGACCTTGTCACGTAAGGTGGGACCTGTCATGGGTCCCCTCTGCCGTGTGCCTGGGTTCCAGGTGAATTCTGTGTCACTCAGCCTGGGGCAGGTGGTGTGGAGCCCGAGGGGCATGCCGATGCTGACTGCTGGGCCCCCACCTCCACAGTTTCTGGTTCAGCAGGTCTGGGTGTGGCTGGAGAATCAGGATTTTAACAAGTTCCTGGGCGATGCTGATGCTGCTGGTCCATCAACCACACTTAGGAACCATTGGGTTAGGAAGAAGGTTTTATTGGACAAAGATGAAACTTAATGGTCCAAGGTTCGGAACATAGAGGAGGAAATACAAATGGGCAATAAAAGTGAAAAATGCTCAATTTTATCAACAACCAGAGAACCAAAAATTAAAAGCATTGTCATAGAGCATCATCTATCAAGTTAGCAAAGTTTTTTAAAAAAACTTAAATTTATTTGTGCTTCACTTTGTTCTTGAATGACCAGCTCCAAAACTAGTAAGGGGGCAGAAAAACGAACAAGCACACAGACTCTAGGTAGGGGAAGTGATCTTGAAAACATTTCATTCCTCTGATGCAGTGACTGCATTTTAGATTAAGAAAACCATCCCGCCTGGGAACAAAGACTTAGATCTAAGGATGTTCAGTTGCTGGAGGGTGTAGGTGAGGCGTGTCTGTCTGAGAGAGGTTTAGAGTGAGGTCAGTCAAGCGCTGGGTTGTCAGGGAGAAGGGAGGACGGGCTGCAGGGCAGAGAAGGGCAGGGGCGGCAGAGTGAAAGGCTGCTTGGAGAGGCAGCTGAAAGCCAGGCATCTGGGGTGGCCTGGGGACAGGCGCTGCATTGAGTGTGTATGCGCACACATACACATGTGATGCATGCACACATGCGTGCATTTGTGCTCAGGTGTGTGTGTGCATGAGCTTGTACACAAGCATGAGTGCATAGCGACAGTCATGGCACACAAACATACATGGCACCATTACTTGGGAGAACAGTGGTCCCAGACTTGGGGGAGTTACAAGGACCCCAGGGCCGTCCTGCAGCGCACCAGGGCTCAGACAGAATTCCGTGGTGGTACCCAGGGCTGAGTAGGTCTCACCTGTGACTTTCTGAATCAGAATCTCTTGGTGGGGGGAGGGCAGGCATCTTTCCTTTTTCAAAGCTCCTCAGATGGTTTCCATGGACCACCTGGTGAGCCCCTTGTGTTAGGTCTGAGGTCCTTGGTAGGACCTTGAGACCCAGATCCAGGAGCGGGAGAAGCAAAGGGGGTTGAGGGAAGGAGGCAGCCTGTGGGGCAGACCCAGGAGAGAGGTTGCCTGGGAGTGCGAGAGCTGAAGGAAGCTTCATCGTGACACTAGTTCCAAATCATCCCAATTCCAGCACACCAGAGCTGGCCTGCTTGTGCCTCAAAAGGTTTTCAATTCCTCGTTTGGAAGCCTGGGTGTGCAATGAGTGAAATTAATTACTAAAATTTAGATGTAGGACAGGAAGTGTGTGCGTGCGCACTCGCCGAGTTCAAACCTGAGTTCCCCTTGGATCATGGATCTGGAGTCTGATAGAAAGTTCGGAGCTAGAGTGGTGGGCTGAGTCACCACTTTCTAAATCAAAGCTCTGGGTAGGATTGAGGTCACCCGAGGACCTTCCATAAACTGTATGTACATAGGGTACTTTAAAAAATGTCTTCTCATGGAAAGCGGCACGCTGGTCCTGAGTAAGTCCCATGATTTGTTCTCGGAAGGAAGGCCGACCTCAAGCGTGGTTGGACCTTCCCAAGTGGCCAGTAGCTGAAACAGCTTGATGTGCACTATTTCAATGGCAGAGTCTGCCAGCGGGGTGGAGGGGACACACAGGATGTGGCTGATAATCAGGAGTGAAGAGACTAGGTCCTCATTACCCATTGGAACCGGCCTGTGTTGATAACATGCATTTTGTTATGTTCATGCAGTTAATCAGGGGATCTTCCTGCCTTAGCTTCCTGTCGGCTCTGAGAACTTAAGAACCTATTAAAATTTCTTTTGTTTGTTAGCCTTGCCCCTATTTTCATGGATGGCGCGCACCCTGTTAAGGCTCCCACTTTACGGGCCATCTCTGTGCCTCGTTAGGGACTCCTGTGACCACAGGAAGCCTTAGAGCGGGTTGGGTTAGTTTCGACATCTGCTGCTCTTTCCTGTTGAGAGCAAGGATTTCTGTTTTTCTCTACTTCTGCATGAATGATAAACTCCACTTGGAAAATGCGCGTTAGTAACTAGATGTGGACATATGTGGGCACAAGGTAGAGCCTCCATAACTGGACCGCCTGAATAATGTGTTATCACTATTCCTTAGCAGTATATTCTGACAATTGAAATAATGCGCTTTGAGAAACGGTGGGGGAGGTGGGGGCACAGTGGCCAGGACCCAGCCTGACCCGGCTTCCTGTCCCGTGTGATGAACCGACCCTCAGACCTGTGGACTGGTGACTCACTGGGCAGAGGGAAGTTGGGTCTTCCTACCCACCCCTCCACCACCACCTCACCAGGGTTCTCTGGGGAGCTAATAGATATTTTATTTTGTTTTTTTTAAAATCCTCACCCAAGGGTCTATTTATTGACTCCAGAGAGAAGACGATGGGGGCTGGAGGGGGAGGCGCGAGGATGTGTCAGAGAGAGACAGACAGGCAGACAGACATCAATGAGAGATATAAACATTGATCAGTTGCCTCTCATATGCACCCTGACTGGGCACAAAACCCACAACCAAGGCATGTGCCCTGACCGGGAATCGAACCCACCACCTTTCAGTTTGCAGGACGACGCTCCTACCAACTGAGCCACACCAGCCAGGGTTCTAATATAGATTTTAAATGCCTCTGCTGGAAAATATATCTCAATTACAGAGCAGTAATAGATATTATATCATTGGGAATTGCAACGTCCTTCCATTCGCCCACAGAACAGTGGTCCTTTGGGCAAGTTTGAAGTCCTCCTCTGTCCCACACTAGCAGACCCTCACCGCTGGGGCAAGGTCTCTAGAATCTGCCATTTTATTTCTCATGAGGGACTTGTGAGGGTCCCAGAAAAGCCAATGTAAAAACACACAGTCACATCTGCCTAACAACTTCCCCTGGCTTTTTGGAGTTTGGGCCTAATTCCACTTAGACTCCAGGACTAATTGTAGCCACAGTGTTATGATTCGATGAAAAGAACTCCACCCCAAGCCCTTCCCTTTGGAGCCTGGCTCGACCATGTGCTCGCACATGGCTGCTAGCAGTGGCAGGTGTAGGGACAGGGTGGTAGGGGCCACAGCAGGGAGGACGTCAGGTCTGGGCCGGGGAGGCCGGTTGACTGCGATGGGGCAGCAGGAGGGGAAGGTCCTCTGGCAGTGAGCTCCGTGGTGTGCAGGCAGCTTACCAGCAAATACTGGCTGAGCTTCTATGCTTGTGCCCAGCATCATGCGAGGTGCAAGGGAGGTAAAAGAAGATAGGATCCTTGCTCTTAAGAATCTTCCATTAAATCTCAAATAAAAAGATGAAAGACTTATCAGCTAGTTGGGAATATGAGCCATCCGTGAGTGAAAAGTTAAGGATGCAGAGAAAACAGCCCCGGGGTGGGGAGTGAGAGACCTGAGTTTCACATCGGCTCTGAACCCTTGGTCCACTCATCTGTGGAGCCAGGGAGCTG